ATGAATAGCAAAGAGGATTTTTTGAGACAGACAGCTTTAGTCTCTGAGAGTGCACAAACTAGTAACTGGAATATTAGAGAAGTATATTTTGATTTTAGGCTTGAAAAGTAAGCACGAACTTTCATACATTAAATACTCATCATGTAAATTTCCATTTATTGCAGAAGAATATAACTAGATAAATTGTTATTTTGGAGAAGCATGAGAATCACACATTGAAATCTGTTTTCTCTTTAAAAGACTTTAATATATTGTGAAAGGATATATTTTATGGATGCAACAGTTAAGTAATAAATTCATCTTCATCATTACACTATGAAGTCATTAAAGATCATCCATATTTTACTTCCCCTTGTATCTTTAGCCTCTTTTATGCCAATAGGCTAACAGCAAATATGTACGAGGGATGGACAGATGTGTTAATGGACAGATCAATTACATAGGTAGATGGCTGTGCTCATTAACTTAGTGCTTCACTAATAAAAGGAATGCAGGTGATTCAGAAATTCACTATTAATGCACCAGTACATTTCCAACAACACAGCGTCCAATTTTTTATTATTTATTCTTACATCTTCTAAGAACAAGTTATCTTTGTATTTTTCTGTGATAGCTAAAACCTTACTTTGTTTAGAGGGCAAATCTACTTGGCATGGCTCTTGTTTTTAGACTCTATGTTCCTGCTAGAAGAAAATTACATTTGTTCTATATTTCTTTCTCTTACTTTAGACTGACGTGCTTTAAGTTAAGAGTCATCCATTCATCCATTTACCAATTCATTTTCTTGTTCATTCATGTATTCATTTAACAGGTACAATTGCCTACCTACTCTAAGTATTACTTTAGGAAGTAGAACAATATCAGTGAATATAGATTTTTTCACAAAAATCTCCTGCCCTCATGGCTATGAAGTTTATATTATAGTGGAGGAAGAAAGAAAATAAATAAGTGAAATATGTAGCATATATGATTAAATGAGAAACATAGAAAGGGATTCTTTTAGTTCGGGTAGGCCAATGTCTAAAACAATCTCCAAATTTTGCTCAACATATTAACTTCCCAACCTAAAGAAAATCTGACTTTTGTCTTTCAGAGGAAAGACTTGGTTAAGTAGGTATTTATTTACTATTCATATTATCTAGCAAATGAACTCATAAAAACTATAAGCATCCAGGTCTTGTGCTGAAAATATACGTTAGTAGTTACAACTGGAAATGATAGGTTAAGTCAAAACTCATCTTCCCACGTACCTGACTCAGGGGCTTTGAGTCACAGGATTTAGTTACTGTTGTTTGAACAAATAATTGTCTTGGTTATGAAAAAGACAGTGATCAGAAAATGAATAAGGAGGAAAGGAATGCATATTAAGGATATGGACCATATAGTATTATACACAAATTTGAAATACAGTTATTGTGAAATTTCTCATCAATTCCATGATTCTTCATTTAAAAGAATGATTGTCCATTAAAATTTCATTTCCTTCCTCATTATTCTGTGATGGAAAAGAGTCCGATGAAAAGAGAACTGGGTGAAGAAACACACAGATTCAAAAACTTAGTGTGCTGAGGGCTATGGTATATGACTGTAATTCTAGCAATTGGGAGCTAGACAAGGAAAGACCACGAGCTCCAGATCTGTCTGAGCTTCATAGAAAGGGCCTGTCTCCAAAACTCAAGAACTACGCTTATAGGTCAATGTAGAGTACATGCACAGTGCCTTTAGTTCAACTTTGATCATGGCCCATAGTGAAGAAGAAGGGGGGAGGAAAGGAGGGTAGGCAGAGGGGAAGGGGAAGGAGGAGGAAGGAAAGGAGGAAGAGATGAAGAAAAGAGAAGAGAAAAGAAAAGAATGAATTTAAGAAATAAATTCCACCCCAACTATACTAACACACATTCTCCTATTAAAAGAAATTGTCTCTCTTGACTAATAGAAGTGTCGAGAGATCCTGAAGGACTATTTCCTAGGAGTAACTATGATATATAAATGGATCAGCCTTCAGGAAGACCGAGGCCCCAATTTTGAAAACCGTTCAATCTGAAATATAATTAAGGCAATTTTGAGTATACAGTGGCCCTGTCCTAGTGCCCTTCCAGAAGAAAAAATTATAAATTCTCAGCAGACTAACATCTTATCTCATTAAAGTTAAGCCATTTTTATATGCCTTGACCATCTTCTGAACACTATCAGGTTTATAGGAAAGAGAGTATGACTCAAAGCAACAGAAATAACAAGAAATGATCAACAAGAAAGACAAATCATCTCATTCATATGTGAAATCTAAAAATATTGATCTCATATAAGGTGAGAGAGAAATGGTGGTTGTCAGAGACTCAAGAGAGTGGTGGGGAGGCCAAGGTTGATTGATGGGTACTAAATCATAGTTTGGAAGGAATAAAAAACTCTGGTGCACTATTACATAGCAGAGTAGCTATACACAACAGATAGGATTTCGAATACTTTGAACATAAATCCTCTTTTAAGGGGCAGGTACATTTGCCTTGACTAATATGACATAATATATTCACGTGTTAAAGATTAAATACCATTCAATCTATATGTTTTTGTTTTGTGTAGTGCTTAAAATTAATTAAAAATTATTAAACAGAATAACCAATGAAAACTTACATGAAAATTTAAAGTGCCACAAGCCATGCTAGAAATATCACTATATGATAGCACACACCTGTAACCCTAGCACTTGGAAGACAGAGGCAGGAATATTGTGAATTTGTGCTCACCAGGGACTATAGAGTGATTGTAAACCAGTCTGACTTACGAAGAAAAACCCTCTCTCAGTAAACACAAGATTGAGAATGTAACTCCATGGTAGAGTACTTGCCTAGCATGTGCAGGTCCATGGTTCAATATCCATTTTGGAAAATAAAATTGAGAGTTTTTAATAACTAGAACTACAGGACATACAAAAAGGTTCCCTTCCAACAGGAGGAAAATTACTGAAGTTGGAACCATACAGATGTGGTAAATAATATATAACAGACTGAGGATATACCTCAGTTGTTAGTACACTTGTCCATCGTGTATAAGGCCCTGGGTTCCAACCCTTGCACGATAAAATAATAATAATAATAATAATGTGAAAAGGGTAACTTGGACACCTAAACAATAAAGTAAATATATTCAAAACTAAAATGATAAATAAGAATTGCAAATATTAATAAGAGAGCTCCTCGTTATTTGAGCAAATGTGGAAATTAGACATCAGTAAAGATACAAATGATTTGGACAACACAATTAATGAACATCACCTAATAGGTATATTTGGACATTCAACTGCTACATAATTTCCATATTAACATTTAAAAGCCAGTCTCTAATTCACGGACTATACAAATCAATTCCATATAAATAATGAGTATACTGGTAAAAGGTGAAAAGATAATAGCAGCAGTTCATATAGAATATTTAAGGATATAGGGAAAAATCTCACTCATAATAGAGGAAAATACTAACAAATTATAGTACTAAAAATTAGAGATTTCTGTTCATTAAATAATGCCATCAAGGCAGAAGATAATTGCAACACAGGCAAATAATGAAGCTTGTTTGTTGACTACATAAAAAAATTCCTTCTGAGTCAGTGAAAAGCTATGACAAAACTCAAATAAATAATATCAATGTTCATTCTAGAGGATGTTTGTTCATAACAGGGAAGGATATTTGAAAGAAACTTGTTTATATGGGATAAAGAATTGAAGATGATCACTTAAGTAAATCAAAGGGACGTATTCAAATTCAGTTATAAAAGAACTTAAATGATTCATAAATTTAGGAATACTTATCTCAATGTAATGTTGAAATTTAGTATGAATTGTTCTATTGAGAGTCACCTTTATGAAGCAGGATAAGAAAAATAATATTGGTTTCATAATGCAATCACTGAGTATAGCTATCTTCAGTAGAAGAGTGGTCTTTATCCAGAGAAATTGGAATGGAATGTTATTCTTACTGCCACACCATTCAATTTTCCTCCCAAGATTGCTTCATAACTCCTACAGTAAGATGAATTATAAAAATGAAAATACCATTCAGAGCAAGCCAACCCACACAAACATGAGTGATGCCAACACCCTGCATCTCAACCACAGAAAAGACCAACAATGAGTTGCCCAAGATGATATTATAAGGCACCTGGCATTGCAGAGGAGACAGATATTAAGGTGTAGAAGTGAACTTCCTTGTTGATTCGGGGGAGATTTCCCAACAAGCCGGGAGCCTATTAAACCCCAAAAGTCATTGAGTCCAAATCACATTTAGACTCTAGTTTAAGTTATAAAGCAACTGAGTAGCACCCAAGTTGGTGGAGTGAAATTCATGCCCCCTGCATTCACACAGGCTGAAAAGCAGCATGATGGCAAGGCTACTTCCCTTTTGTACTTTTTCATGAACAGCTACATTTGGAGAAAATTGAGTAACGGTTCAGACTTTCTGCCTTAGCTGATGTGTACAGCACACTGGATGTTTGATACTCATCTTTCCATTTACCTCAAATTGCATAAAAATTTATAATTGTTCATCTGTGCCTTTGGATAAGCTATGTTCAGTCAGGAAGGGCTTAAAGAGAAGGAAGCAGATCAAGGATTTTCAAATACAGGTAGACAACTGATTCCCTTAGGCCTCCAATTTTATTATGCTTCAGAGCGTTGTTTAAAACACTGTTCTCTGTCTTTGTGTATGTATCTCTCCCTCTGAACACTCCTCTATCTCTCTGTCTCTGTCTGACTTCTCTCTTTCTGTCTTTCTCTTTGTGTCTGTTGTTATCTGTCTCTGTGAGACAGATATAGACAGAGACAGAAAGAAACAGAGATAGACACAGAGAAAGAAAGAGACAGGGACAGAGACAGAGAGGGCCCTGCCAAACCTGAAATTAGACTGTACTTGATACCCAATTTTAAAATTCTTCCTTGTTCCTTTCTTTCTCTATTCCAGTCCCTTCTGCCATCAAATATCCATTTTCCACAGAAAAGCAAAATACTCACGCGACTTTGGCACAGACAGTGCACTTCCAGTTGCCATCGAGGCCCATGACCCGACACTCACTGCACACCCTGAGCGAGCAGGCCTGGCATGGATCTCCCCGGTCAAAGATTAGGCCTAGGCTTTTCTGACAGTGAACACAGACTCTGTTGGTCTCTTGTTGAGTCTTTCCACTTCTACGCTTTGCTTCTAAAAGTTCATTTTTCAGTTTCCTAGAAAGAGAAAAGGCATATTAAAAGCACAGGGCAATGCTTGTAAAATGGCTTAAGAGATGAAAGAGTCTGCTGTTCAAAGCCTAACAAGCTGAATTTGATGCTTGTGACCCTGGTGGAAGGAGAAAACTGATTCCCATAGGTTGTCCTCTAACCTCTACACCACATGTATATTCTATGTGTGTGTAACCATCCACACACAAGTAAAAAAAAAATGAATGTAATAAAATTAAGAATCACATAGGAACACAGGTGTGATGTTGTCTTTGAATGCTAACTCTGTTATCCCTTCCAGCCCACTACCAATAAACAACTATTTAAGAGGGAATCTTTTTTTCATAGTTGCATCAAGGAATCAGAGCCAAATATTTTCAACCAAAACAATTTCTCCCTCCAGAATCAAAGATCTTTGGAAATTTGCTGTTGAAGTATTGATATTTTACTTTTTTATTTTTTGAGACAGGATCTCCCTGCGGTCCCCAAGGTGGCCTGGAACTCACTATGTAGACACGACTGGCCTCAATCTCATAGATTCTGCCTCTGCCTCCCAAGTGCTGAAATTAAAGGCATATGCCACCATGCCTGACCCTGTCTTACTTTTGACATCTTTTACAGCACTGGTTTTTATTGGTATTTACTCACTTATCCATGATGCCTTTGGTATTCCAACCTTGGATCACTGCCTTAGTGGAGAGACAGCTTCTCCATCTACCTAGCTATACTACATTAGGAAATTCTTTCCTTAACTGAATCTGGGATGATTGTAAATGCAATGATAATGCACAGAGTTTCAGTTATACATACTTCTGCTTAGTATTTGAGATTTTCCAGCAATGCACATTAACAGTTCTGTCAGACACAGCTATTCTTGAGTCCAGGTTCCAAGATAAATTAACTGTCCAACTGCAGACAATGATTTACCCACTCAATTTAATCCTTGCATTTCTAAAATTGGAGTGATTATATTCTTCAAAGGTTGTTTTATGAGATAATAAAAGCAAAGCTGCCAGTACGCTTCCTGATACACAGATACTAAACACACGTCACTTCCATATCCTCTTTAAAAACTACTTGACAAGAAGAAATCTATTTATCTGCCCTTTAGTAACTTGGAATTCCAAGTAGAGTCCTTTTCTGATAGTAGCACTTGGCAACTTCTTAGGAATACTAAATCTCAGAATTTCAGAATCTGTAATATGCTTTTTTTTTTGGTCTTTTTGAAGCAGGGTGTCCCTGTAAGCCCCAGCTGTCCTGGAACTCACTATGTAGACCAGGCTGGCCTTGAACTCACAGAGATCTGCCTGCCTCTGCCTCCTGAGTGCTGGGATTAAAGGCGTGCGCCACCATGCCCGGCTATAATATGCTTTTAAAAAATCAAAATCTGCTTTTAAAAAATCAAAATCTGCAATTTACCCAAATGTTTAGTTGATTACAGAGTTTGAGAAGCACAACTTTGGAACATGTATTCTCTAATTTGACTATATACTGGAATCACTTGGAAATATTTTTCTAAACGCTAGTGTTTAGGTTTCATTTCCACAAATATAAATGTAATCTATTTAAGATGTGGTCAAGGCAATGTTATACCCTAAAGTTTATTCTGATATTCTATCAGATTTGAAAAGCATTACTCTAGAAAACAGGTTCATTCCCATTTTAATACTTCATAGATATGACATTTATTTATGTTATTGATCTCCAATCTTGTCTTCAACTCAAAACTTTTATGCCTCAGGAAAAAAAAAATCCGAATCATCTCACCTATTTCATGCCATTTCCTTTTTGTATTTGTGACATTAAGTTTTGTCATAATCAATCACACTAGCATCTTCCTAAGTTCAGGAATGATTAGTTTCTTATCTATGCTGTTCAAGATCCATGTCCATGCTAGGTTATAAAGTAGTTGAATATTCAAAGGTACTAATTATAAATTTGTAAAGTGCTATGAATCTCACATTAGTGTATACAGTGTGTATACACTGAAATAGCACATTGAATCTCATTAGCAGTTAATACATATTAATAAAAAACAAAAAATTTTTAAAAGATAGTAAGCAGTACAGATGAAAACAGAACCAGAGTGTTTAGTTCTCAGCTTAATGAGAGATCCAAAAATGGATGATTTTTTAAGTGAGGAATACATTTTCTAAAATTACTGACATTAGACAAGCTGTGGTGGTGCATGCCTTTAATCTGAGTGCTCAGGAGTCAGAAGCAAGTAGATCTTTGTGAGATCAACACCAGCCTGATTTACATAGTTCCAGGCCAGCTGGGGCCACAGAGAGACTCTGTCTCAAAAAACTACTGACAGTGGGTCAGGCATGTTGGCCCATGTCTTTAATCCCAGCATTGGGGAGGCAGAGGCAGGCAGATATCTGTGAGTTCAAGGCCAGCCTCGTCCACATAGGGAGTTCCAGGCCAGCTGGGACTACAAGGAGACACAATCTCAAAAAAACCAAAAAAATTACTGACATTGTCTCATTTAATCACTCAACACAGCTAGACAGATATTAGCAGGCTTGGAGATGATTGAGAATTGATCCTTACATCATAATCTACTTTGAACCCCAACTCTTGTTTCCTTGGTAACACTAGAAAGAGAAGCCACAGTTGTCCCTCCTTAAGATTTAAAATGTCACATAAAAAGAGTGGCATTATCAGGGTTTTGTTTTGGTCCATTGAAAGAAAGCTACTTCTTCCTGGTCAAAAGAACAGAATCTGAGCTTTCCCTTTGGCCCTGGGTAGATAGGTAACATTCTGATCTGCTTGAAACATTATATAATATTGTCTCCTCCCTTGAGAAGTAATCTTACTGAACCTGTCAATCACCTGGCTAGGAGATTACCCTTCAGGAAAGCTGATTACTAAAACTTCCCAAATAGATAATATTAAGAATTTTCCAATTAATAAGATAATGGACATCCCAGGAGCCCATCTCACAGGGTGATTGCTTACAGATCTTCACTGCTGAACCCACAAACTTTTGTGGGTTCTAGCTAAAAAGGGATCACTTATTCTTTTTTAAAAATTTTATTTATTATTATTTTTTTAAATTTTTAATACTATTGCCTGCATGTAGGTAAGTGCACCCATGTCGTGCATGGCCCGTGGAGGTCAGAAGACTCTGTCGGATCCCCTGGAACTGGAGTTACAGATGGTTGTTAGCTGCTATGTGG